TCCTGCTGGAGGCAGAAGAGTTAATCCATTTGCAGACCAATGCTGCTGTGACCACAGAGGAGCATCAACCCTAGCCCTAACCCTAGCCCTAGCCCTAACCCTAACCGACCTCCAGTCTGCCCCTGCATTAGCCAGTGCAGAAGAAACCTCTGCGTCCTGATGGGGTCACAGCTGCACCATGGCCTCCAGCTTAGATTGAGGTAACATTGCTCTTGAGTGAACCTGCTCTTTCAGAAGGAAATATGAACACGCTGGAAGTTGAAACAGAGCAAACGTGGTTCTGAAGCTCACCCATGTGGTGGGAGAACCGTGTCCCAGCCCGCTCCTCAGTGTGGGCAGGAGTGCCTAACAGCACCCAGCATCTCAGGCATGCTCTGCTGCCACACAGCTGGCTGGATAAGTGTGTCTGTGAGCGGTAAGAGATGAGGGAAAGGGGGCTTGGGCGAGTTAGCTAGTCCTTCAGCAATCGGGGAAGAGGTGGCCCAACGTAACCACCATTTTTCAATCCTAATTGCAAAAACGCTTCAAGAGAAAATATCTGGCACCTTTGGACAATGCGCCAAGCACATGAAGACAGGCATAGAAGTTCTCTTGTAACTGCAAAGAGATGCTAAGATCCAAGGGAGAGACTTTAAACTCTGTTTTATTAATAATCTGAAGCGTCCTCTCTCCATCGCAATGGGAACCCTCAAGGGCTGCAGAGGCTGAAAAGCCGTCTCTCTACAGGAAGCCTTGGCATTTGGCAACACCATCTGCTTGGCAAAGGTTGGCAACCTGACACTTCTGGTTAAACTCCACATCTCCTGGTTGTGAAGGGCTTGATAACTTGTGACTTGCCCTCAGTCCATTACCCTCTGCTTACTGAGTCACAGAGCACATTCTATCTCCCTGCAGAGCACTACAGCAGCTGGGCTATGTTATATTCTGTGTCTGTCTTGCTCAGCATTAGACAGTATGCTTAAAGAGAGCTTTCCATCTAAATCAAGCGAAATGCAAACACAAAATTTCTGTTGCTTCAGCAAAGAGGCCAACTCTAACGTTTTTGGCTTGGAAACACACATTTAGATACATTTTTTTGCCTGTCAGCATGTTTATTTTGATGAGGTTTTGTTTTGCATATTAGAAGAGACAATTAAGACTTGACTTTTTAATTGGTACTGGATGCATTTTAAACACTAATAGACTTTCTCAACAAGAACTGCATGTTCTCTTTCTCCAGTATAACTTAACTCTGACAGAGAAGACAAAAATATAGCCAAGTAACAGCTGAAACGTGAGATCCTGCACTCAGAAGCTAGGAAAACTATTCTAATACAAAGTGTAGAGTGGCTGAGTCAGCATACCAACTGAAAGTTATATTTAGGCTTAAATACAACACAAGAAAAACATTCTCTGCTGCACCAAAATTTTCCTTTTTAAAAAAAAACCAACACCCAAACAAACAAAAATTTCTGGAATTACATGCTGAAAGCATCATTAAATTCGAAGCTGCTGTGAGATTAATAACGATATTAAGATGAATTTTCTAGTCCCAACCTGGCTGATTTTAAGCAAACAAAACAGTGAGAGAACTTAAACTGCAAGCAAGTACCATGAAGGCTGAGGAACAAGAGCAAGCTACTTCCTTTTGCAGCAGTGCTTGTTTCATTCTGGGACGAGGCAAAGCAACTACAGCAAGTACTGGCATTTTGCAGTGAACTGCTAAGCTCACCTCGTCTCAACATTTCTGTACTCATTTGATGGAGTTTTTTTACAATGCTGAGTAGCACAGATACAGACGACAATGACCACAGAGGCAAGTAGAAGAAATACTATAGAACTTGAACTAAGCTCTTTCTTCTAGCAAAAGAGCCATGGTCTGCCCAGTGGCAAACTGCTCACAAAAACAGGAGGAGACAACATGGAAAACCCAAGATGGCTCATCACAACATTGATGCAGGGAAGAAAAACAAAAGCAAGTGACAGCTTTCATTTCCCCAGACGGCATTTCCTCAGTTTCCTGGATTTGCTCAGATAGACCTGGGGCAGTTCTCCAGAAAGCAGCAAGTGCTTCGGATGGGAGGCGAATGAAAGCAGTTCTGATCTCTGGAGGTTTACCAGTGCTGCTCAGAGCACGTCCACCCCCGTTTCAGGGGCACTCACAGCTGAACACAGCCATGCCATCTCCCAGTAACTACGCCATCAGAATAGCCTGTACATCCTCTAGTCAGCTTCCACTGGAAACAAAACACATGAAGTTAAGCTTCAGAGCATGAGGAACCTGCCCTTAGTCCTGACCATGAGCTGGGAAGCCAGCGCATTCCCCAAGCATAGTCAAGGACAACGTCCCCATCTCCCCCACCAAGGACTCAGAGCTTACACGTCACCCTGCTCCCTGCCTGGACAATCTGAGGTTCCTTTCCTCCATCTGGGCGCCACTGCCCCTGTCACAGACCAGTGGATCCCTCAGGTCTCTCCATCTCCCCAGGACCAGCCCCATGCTAGCAGCAGGGATGGGGGATGCAGTTTGTGTTTTGATAGATGCATCTGCTGTTGTTCTCTGCAAAAGCCCTTACATAAATGTTAGGGGAAGCCAGACACAAGGCTTCAGCCCCCCATCCCTCTGGCCTGTTGGGTTCTCTGTCACACTAACAGAAATGTTATCAATGCTCCCTGCTCTCTAGCGCTAAGCATGTCACAAGCGCTTTTGCCTCACAAACCTATTTTGCCTCACACATTTGCCCTAATTTGTGTAAAGGAGATTCGAAACACTAATTAGAAAGCGAGGACTGTCTTGTTTTCTCCAGTTCACCTTATCTTCTTCATTCAGCTCCTGAAGACTCAGCTATTAAGGGAAATTAAGTAATTCATCAAGCCCTTTTCAATTACCTGCTGTTGATAACATCAGAGTACAATTAGCATCTACAAATGAACAAAGTGCCAACTGCCAAGCAGAAACAGCAGCTAATTTACAGCCTGGGGCAGCCTGCCCGAGCTGAGATTCAGGGGCTGCCAGCAAACACGTATTTATACCAGCAACAGCCCTTGTTCTGCCCCTCCCAGCCAGCTGAGAACACATCTTAACAACAGCTGGAACATCAGCAGCACAAACACTGCATCCCACTGCAGAGACGGAGACCTATCTTCAGTCACTTCCACATCTGGCGCTGTGAAGAAGCAGCAGGAAAGGACTTCACTTCGATGTAACTCAGTCCTTCCCTGCCTGCCAGCAATATGCCAGTGTCTCTCCTTCGAAGAACATGAGACTCCTACACTATTACTTTAATGTGTACATTCCGCAAACAAACTCAGTTAGGATTCGACCTACATCTCTCTCAACTTACAAGGCAGCAATATATTGACAGATCCAGCTGACAAGCTCCCAAAGAAACGGCCCAATAATAAACCACATCACTTCTTGCCTTAGTGCAAGACTTAAGTTTATTTCTGACACCTGAATAGCTCTTCAAGTGCATTTTACCTTTTAATTTCCCTTCTGCCATGAGCTTGCGCTTTCTGGTGCCTTTCTGGGCAGGCCAATAATTTAACGTGGGATACATTACCTGAGCATGCCATCTGCCAAGTGCCTGTTTAATTTATGAAGACAGTCTGGTGAAACTGGGTTAACCAAGAAGACAGTACACAGCAAACCTGCATCCTGGCAGCAGCTCTGATAGTCGTGGTATTCCCTGACACATTCTGCTCCACGTCAGGTCCTTACCTAGATTGGAGGAGGCTCTGCCTTCAGCAGCTCGGTCCTGCAGGCTCTCAGCGATGTGCAACTGTTCTTCATGGTACTGCTTAGCCCTCTCCAGGTCCTGCATGCATCTAGCTGCATGGCCCAAGCCAGCATAAGCTCGCATCTCAATGGCTTTCTCAGCCAGCTCCTGGGCCAACTCCAGCACATAGTTGTGGTAGGACATGGCTTTGTCAAAATTCCTCCGGTAGTGGTAAGCACTGCCTAGATTGCTGTAGGCTCGAGCTTCCTCCCGCTTGTTCCCCAGCTCCTTGGCGATCTTAAGATGTTGTTCATGGCACTGCACTGCGTTTTCAAAATCCCCCATCGCAATGTACACTGCTCCCATGTTGCCCAGCTCCCGTGCCTCAGAAAGCTCATCTTTGGACTGCTTTGCAAGGAGGACACACTGCTTGTGGCTAGCCAGTGCATTTGGGTAGTCCCCGATGGCTGTGTACACATGGCCCAGACTGCTCAGTGCTGAGGACGCTGCCTGCAGGGACAAGAGAGAGAAAGTAAGCAAAAGTATTCATGGAAAGAAGTCAGATGGCCCCAGCCCTAGAAATCAAAGCCACAAAAGGCCATTCTGGAGAAAGAATTTGACGACCAGCTAGAAAACCTGCTCTCTGCAGTTCTTCTATACCCCTCAGGGCAGCTCCAGCGGGAGGCAGCAGGAACGGGGTTGACTCTGGAGAACAGGGCTAGGATCACCTCCTTCTCTAAAGCATACCGTGTGTGTGTGAATCTGGTAGAGGGGAAGGACGGCACTGCAAAGATGCAAAGACCACTGAGGAAACAGAGAAAGCGATCGTTGCAGAAAACTGTGCTCCAGGAGCAGCCTGAGCTGTCTCACAGAGCAGTGCTTCCTCTGTAGGCAGCCACACCTCAGGTCACCTCTCATAACTACTTTAACATCTACACCAAGTCCTGCTAACACAGCAAACAATCCTGTGTACAGCAGCTCTTCAGAAAGCAGACAAATAGTGATATTCACCTGCAGAGAACATTGCAAACGAATGTTGGCCCTGTTCCACCCTCCACCCGGTAAGCTCACGTCAACGCAAGACTCCCGAGACCCCACAGGCTGATGCCAAAGCACTGTGAGAGACCAGCAGCAGAACACCTAACTTGACATAATCATGCTGCAGGCTGAGCCACCACGAGGACTCTGCAGTCTCTTCTTTCCAGGCTAAACAGCCATTCAATATTTACAAATTTACACACTTGCAGCCAGCACTCAGCTGGGAGAAGGGAGATGCCTCTGCTGCTTATCTCACAATACCAGTAGGCCAGCGTGCAGTTGCCAACATCTTTGTGTACTTCTGCTTGGCCAATCACACTGTGCTCTGAAGACCACAGCTCTTACTGTGCAGCATCAAGGTCCTTCTAGCACAACTGTGTGTTACTGAACCCCAAACAACCTTGGGACTGCAGCAAAGACAACAGTATTTCAGCAGCTGGAGCCTCCATCCCTAGGGACATCTTAAATAAACACAGCTATTCGAAAACCTGAGTTCTTACCCCTGAGAAACAGCTGTATTTAACAAGACAAATTATCTGAGAATCAGATTCTTTTGCCCACTGCCTCCACCAGGACACAGGCCAGCCTTCCACCCGACAGAGCGACAGCACACGCAGCCAGACAGCAGGGCAAGAAGCCAAGAGCAGGGATGTGTTCCTTCCGCCTAATGCACATCTGCTGCCTCAGCATGGCTGCTCACTCCAAAGCCCTGACCCTGAGTCCTCCATAGTCCCTGCATGTGCATTTCCTTCGCTACCCAGCTGCTGCTGTGACCCAATTCCGCAAGGCTATCTTTTCCAAACCTCTAGAAAGGAGCAGTCAGGGTGAGCGACTCATCCCCCTCCCTAGCACCCTAGCTCAGGAAGGTGTCCTAGGTTACAGTGTAAAATGT